GTACCTATTTTTAAATATAATCATTTTAAAAATACATGGTTTTGCCTTGTTATTCTAAAATTGTAATATAATTTGGGATATATGGAGTATAAGAATCTTTCTCATATGACACTAAATAAGATTTAGTGGAAAATAAAAGGTTTTAGTACAACAAGTAATGTACTAAAAGTCGAGGAATGAAAAATTCTACTTGTACCCCATATTTGTACCTTATTTTGTACTTCAAGGCTTTGCCCTGACATTAAATGTAAGTGCAAAGCTTTGGGTTACAAAATGAGATACAAAGTGGGGTTAGGGTAGCATGTTCCATAAATGATAGTTCAAGAATTACGAAATACTAAATCACGCTTTATAAAATAGTAATGCACGAATTAAAATCTAGGGTTGTTTCAAGTTTAGGTCCGGACTAAAACAACCGATCGAACGGGATGTTAGGTCCAGACCGAACCTAACCGGACTATCGGTCTTTCGTCCATAAAATTTAAGCATTCAAATTTTAGACTGTTAGGTCTAGACCTAAACACTAAAGCTCTACTTTTGAAGTTCGGTATTACACATTGATGTTCTATTTTCATAGATATATCTTAACTTATTTAATTAAGAAGGTTTTTTATTAATATTTTTTTTAACAGTTCAAAAAGAATTATTTAATTTTTTGTCTTATTTACACAGTAGAAATTAAAAAACCTAAAACATAATTAATAGATCGAAATAAACTAAATTTTTTTTTCCAATCCAATCGGACCTGACCGGTTTGGTCCTAAATATTTCAGTTCGGTCCAGTCTAAATTCGAATAGATTTAGGTCCGGTCTTCGATCTTAAGTGGCCATTTTGTTCAATTCCGCCTTTGGTCCGGTTTGGTGTAGGTGCGAACTAAGGTATTCGTACTTGAGCACACGCTCAAATGGCCAATTTGCAAATTAAGTGTGAACTAAAGAAAATTTATACGCAAATTAGTTTCCGTAAAAATGTATCCAATCAATCGAGTCGTTTGTTTTATGTAAACATAGTGCTCTCTCCGTCTCAAAATAAGAAAGTCGAAACGAGGAAAAATTTTAAGATTTTTTAAAAAAAGTATTTAAATGTTTATTCGCGCACACGCTCAAATGGCCAATTTGCAAATTAAGTGTGAACTAGAGAAAATTTATGCGCAAATCAGTTTCCGTAAAAATGTATCCAACCAATCGAGTCGTTTGTTTTATGTAAACATAGTGCTCTCTCCGTCTCAAAATAAGAAAGTTGAAACGAGGAAAAATTTTAAGATTTTTTAAAAAAAGTATTTAAATGTTTATTCGCGCACACGCTCAAATGACCAATTTGCAAATTAAGTGTGAACTAAAGAAAATTTATGCGCAAATTAGTTTCCGTAAAAATGTATCCAAGCAATCGAGTCGTTTGGTTCATGTAAACATAGTGCTCTCTCCGACTCAAAATAAGAAAGTCGAAACGAGGAAAAATTTTAAGACTTTTTTTAAAAAGTATTTAAATGTTTATTCGCGCACCGCAATCGGAGATAAAAAAAATTCTCAAGATTTACAAAACAACCGACCACAGTGGGAGTCGAACCCACGACCTTTTGATCCGAAGTCAAACGCGCTAATCCACTGCGCTATGCGGTCTTGATTTCAGTATTGGAAGTAGGCTTTATATAACATGCAAATGGTTTCTTATCTTAAAAATAAACTAGGGAGGAATTTTGACTTAGGAGTACAATTTACATTCGCCATCCCCAAGATATGGTAAAATACTAAAATTACATACGGAGTACCTTGTAAATAAAAGTTAAAAATATTGTAATATTAAAAAATGTTGAAAATATTATCTCAGAAGAATTGAATAGTTTCTGACTTTTCAAAATTGATAGAGACTTTAGGCAAAGTAGTATGGTGTTTTTATGGTTTACAAAAAAAAGCATCAAAATACTCGTTATTTCTTAAACTCCTAAGATTTCCAAATGGTGCATACACAATTACGCACACATTCTTACTTATTTTTAGAGTTAAAATGACATTTATGTCACTTCTTTCTCCGCATTATGAAGTTTACTCTTTTATTTTTGCATTTCCTTGTTTAAACAAATAACATATGCACTCTTCATCTCAAATTAAAATTTTATTTATTTATTTTTAAAAACAAAATATTTTTTGGAGAACACCACAAGAAAAAATGAAAAATAAGAAAATAAAAAGAGAATAAAAAACGTAATGAAATGAAAAAGAAAGAAAAAGAGGAAAAATTACCTTTCTTATTTCAAATAAAAGTGAAGGAAGTGAAACAAAAAAAAAGGAGTAACATATGCTCACTATGCCTGAAATAAAATTTGTTAAATTATTTAACATGACTTTTTTGGGACTTAAAAAAATGAAGAATAGATAGAAGATATAAAATACGAGTAAAAGATAAAGGTAGATTTTTTCTCTTTTTTCTCTTAATTTTATCTCTCTCCACCTACTATCGAGGTCGGTACTAAGGGTATGTTTGGATTGAGAAAGGTAAAATTTTATTAGGTAAGTAATAGTAGGTAATTGAAGGTAAGTAATTGAAAGTAGGTAATTGAAGATAGGTAATTGAAGGTAATATGTTGAAAATTTGTGTTTGGATATTTAGTAGGTAAAACAATAAAATTACTTAAATGCCCTTTTGCTTGTTTTTCTTTATTACGTGTTTCACTCTCATTCTCTTCTACGCCATCAGGAGTCCAAGCCTCGTCAGGATCCCCATGTAGCAAATATTTGTGTAACAGCAAAAAAACAAGAAAAATAGCAAAAAAACGAAAAAACAAAAAAAAAGCAAGAAAAAAATACAACGAAAAAAACCGAAAAAACAGCAAAAAAAACCCTCCAAGAAAATTGAAAAACAAAACCGAAAAAACATAAAAAAACCAGAAAAACCAAGATATTTCAATAATTAGAAAAAAAACAGCATAAGAAAAACAGAAAAAAAGAAAAGCAAAAAAATTTAATACACGAAGACTTGGAAACAGAAAAAAAAAGAAAAGAAAAAAAAATCAATACATGAAGACTTGGAAACAAAAAAAAGCAAAAAAAATCAAAAAAGAAACCAAGAGAAAAATCTGGACGATCAGAATAGTAATTAAAGATATTAAAAAAACAAATGAACCTTTATAATTAATTGTTTAATTTAACATTTTGTAATACTCCCTTCGTCTCAAATTAGATTGCCTGTTTACTATTGACAGAGTCAGATTTCATTCACTTTCTTTCTCTTTTTTTGGTAGTTATTTGATAAAATAAAATAAGCATGTCACTACTAGTTTTGTAGATCTTTGATGTAGTATTTTAATATGTAATTTTTTTTAATTCTAGACCATTTTTCATATAAAATAATTTAAAAATAATTTCAGTCAAACATTGTTTGGTTTGAAACATGCAATATAAATTGGGACGTAGGGAGTAATTGTTTGGTTTGAAATTTTTGATTTGTTTTTTTAAAACTATTTTTCACAACTCTTCCCTTCTCATTTTGAAAATAAAACGATTAAGTTAAAATATACTCCGTACTTCATAATTTATTAGAATAATTTGAGAACTTATTTTTTTACAGGAGAAAGTTCAAAAAATGAATAAAACATAGAGAAAAATTTAAAATAAGATCTTTATGTTTTTATTCTCAAAATAGAAGTTACAATGCGAATAATATACATTGTCGAATACCAACATATAATGTTACATGTTTTCAAAAAAAAATACTCTGTATTAGGGCTGGACACGGTACCGGTTCGGTACCGTCACCGGAAACGGTACCGCCGGTACCGAGCACCGTAACGCACACCGGCACGGCGAAACGGTTCCGAGAACCGGCACCGGTACCGCCACAACCGGTCTCGGTTCCGGTGCCCGAAATTCGTTACCGGCACCGCCGGTACCGGTACCGGTTAATTTTTTTTTCGTTTTTTGCTCCTTTCTGCTCTCCATCTCCATCATCCGGTACAGGCTGCATCCGCTGCAATTTAATTCTCTTCAGCCGAAATTCTTCTGCTCTGCTCTCCATCTCCATCTCCGGCCAGGTGCCTTTTTCATCTCCTTCTCCATCTCCTTTTTCAGCCTTCTCCATCTCCTTTTTGCTCCTTTTTTCACAAAATTCAATAAAAAAGCAAAAAAAAAATTGGGGGTGGCCGGTCCGGTACCGGAACCGCCGGTCCGGGTACCGGAACCGGTACCGGCCGGTCCGGTCACGGTACCGGTACCAAGGGGTGGCGGTACCGGAACCGGCGGTTCCGGAACCGGAACCGTCCCGGAACCGTACCGTGTCCACCCCTACTCTGTATAATGTTACATTTTCAAAGTGTAAAGTTTTATTTTAGAAATAAAAACATGTAACTTTTATTTTAGATGATTTCTTTTTTTCAATTAGGAAGAATGCAAGGTGATATTTTTAGTTAACATTGACTCCATGTTTGAAAATATACCCATTTGAGTCTATAAAAAATGTTGAGTACATCAAATTATACCCTAAATTGTATATTTTTTCTTTCCACCACAAACTCTTATCCTCTTAATGACCGTCCGACCGGATTCGAGAGAGACCCTCAGAGACGGGGCTATCTTTTTCTTTCAAAAGTATTTAGGGGTACACTTAGGGGCTGTTTGTTTCAGCCTCTTAATGGTTCAGATGTCTGAATGATTCAGCACTTAATGGTTCAGACTGTTTGTTTCAGCCTCTTAATGGTTCAGATGTCTGAATGATTAAGAGATTTGCCTCTGAATGGTTAAGTATTATACAGAGTCTGAATGGTAATAGTTAAACAATATACTAGCTCTTAATGGTTCAGACCTCTTACTGGTTCAGCATTTAATGGTTCAGACCTCTTACTGATTCAGCACTTACCCATTCAGAAGTTACCAAACAGCCCCTTAATTGATTAAACTCCAAGTTTACACTAACTACTCTTCTCCTCACCACTTATTTATCCCAAGCATCTCTCTTTCTTCTTACACAGTAAACCATCCCATTTTGAGTGCATAAAGAGCAGCAACACAGAGCAGGAGAAAGAAGCAAAAAAACGAAAAAGAAGAACCAAATCCTTCTCCACCTGGGGCAAATATTGGAGCTTAAAAGGAAGATCAAGCGGACTTCCATGTCTAAGACTCCACCAGCTCCTCCAAGTAAGTTAGTTTTGCTCTGTTTTCATGGCCGTAACTCGTGTATACATGCATCATTGCACGTGTATGTATGGCTTCTTGGCTGTTTTGTTACTCGTATCGAGGATATAGGGGTTTTAATGGCCATATATATACATGTGCATCTTCTTCGCTGCGCACTAGGGTTTTATTACGCACCATGGAGGAATGGAGATATGGATGGAACTATTGTTTGCTCGTCACATCCAGGTCTTTCGTTGGGTTTTTTTCTTTCAGATCTTCTTCTAATGTTTTGCTCCACAGTTGATTTTGTTGTGTACTGTCAAGTCTTAAACCCTAAACTTGCAGGTATATGCAAGTGCACTATGTTCCTCAATGCCGCCCGTTGCCGTGAAATGAAGCTAGTCAAGAGTAGGTTTCTAGGAGCATTTTCTCCCATTGTTGTATTCTGTGAGATGGCACTGATTAAATACAAGTGTAAATGTTTGTGCTTAGAATTTGCTGCGAAGCTTCAAGTTGGTGCTCAAGGAACTTTAGACAATATTAGGGATAAGGAAGGCCGTACAGCGCTGCACTTTGCAGCTCGAGCAGGAAATACATTCATGTGCAAGTATTTGGTGAACCATTTGAAGCTTGATATTAATGCCCAAGATGAAGAAGGTACTCCACACTTGCTTTTTTTTTCTGTGGGCAGTATGACTGAAATAACCAGTTAAAGTCCCCCGTTTTAATTTAGTCATCTTAAATTGCTTGGTGTTTGTGAAGTGTGAGATGTTTTTTTGTAGGTAACACTCCTTTGCATTATGCAATTCAAGAAAAGCGTCTCCAGGCTGCTCTTTATCTTGTGAACAATGGCGTTGACGTTGCAAAAGCTAACAAAGAGGGCTTAACTTACTTGCATTATGCTACTCATAATGGTTTGTTTTTTCACTTAATGTTAATGTGTATTCCGTTTATAAAATATGCTTTGAGAGAAATTTATGTACTAACTATAATTCCGCAGATTAGTTTCATTCGGTTTCTACAATTCCAGCATTTTCAGGACAGAAGGAACTCATACAATTGCTCATTTCCCGGGGTGCTGAAGTAGATGCATGTTCTAATGATCAGTGGACACCCTTACTGTTTGCTACGCTTTACCGCAGTATAGAAGCTGTGGAAGTTCTATTACAGAACAATGCAAATGTAAGGATACAAACATAATATGCATCTTTTTAGATTCTTTTGCTCGGGTTGGCTTCATGACATGTTATATTTATTTGTATGATTTTATGATGCTATGTCGGTCACAGATTTATTGACTTCTACATCTAGCTGGATACAGTTCTATTTGTGAATCTCTTGTGTCCTTTATGCAGCCCAATTTGGTTGTGCGTCCAATTGCTCCGCTGATAGTGTCAAGCTGGTACTCATATGAGATCACAGATCTACTAGTCAAGGTATTACATTGTTTGACATCAAGATTTCTCAATTAGCTCTCTTGCACGCACATTTATTTTTGGGAAGGGTGGTGTATTAGTGCTTATTATGGTTCACCATAATTGTAGATGATAACGTTGATGTATAAATGAGGCAAAGCAACTCTATTGTAATTAGAGTAAATTTCATAAATATTCTTTTATAACATGGAGTTTTCCATATTTAGTCCCCAATTCTAAGATATTACATTTGCGGTCCATAATTTTTGAAAACCATTTTATAATTAGTCCTTTGGGGACTATATGTGGGAAATTTTTTTGGTCATATTTGTCCTAGACTAATTTTGGAATAGCTTTTCAAAACTGAGGACTACGAACGTAATATCTTAGTATTGGGGATTAAAATATGAAAACCCCCTAGTATAAGGGACCATTTATGGAATTTACTTTTATTATTATTATTATTATTATTTTATTGAAAATAAGATATGAAAATAGCTTGTCATTGTGGGGGACTAGGAGCTAGTATTAGGGGGCTCAAGTTAGAAGACGTAAAAGTTTGATGACAGAAAATCTAATTCTAGTAGTGGCACGCAAGTGTGTTAATATGAATGATTAAAAGCATATATTTCTACTTCATGGATGAAATATATGACCAATTTCAACAAAAAAAATTGATTGCTTCAAATAGTAGAAAGGTCAATTGTGTTGGAAATCTGTTAGCACCCAGTCACCCACAGGCATACTGGCAGCTTTTTTAATTAACATTAAAAAGTATAACACATTGTTGTTGGCTGCTTTTGTGTTTTGCTGCTTAACTTAGCTTGTCTTTTGTCATTGAGGCTGGAGGTGATCCCAACATCAATGTGGATGGTTCAACACCACTTCAAGGAGCAGTTGCATATGAACAAGTTGAAATAATCACGTATCTGTTGAAGGCAGGGGCAGATCCAAATATTGCGGATGTCGTGAGTTATTGTTTATATTGTTCTTTTCCTTAGTTATATCCATTTTTTTTGTAATGACTTGCTGTGATCCGTTTTCTGATTCGATTGATGAGCTCATGTTGGTACTAGAAATGTAAGAAAAATATAAGAACCCATGGACCTACTTAATTTTTTTCATTGATTCCTCTACTGACCCTGAATGCATTAAAATAATTTTTCATAGAGATATGCATTATGGATTTAAACTAAAGGAAAATGAATAAGAATTGCTCTATTTTCACGACCTCTTAATAATACTCTTTCTAATCTACATGTGGGCATACCTTGATCAAACCGCTTACATCTTGTACCTTCTTTGCCTTCTTTACTACACTTTGGTCATATATGTTCAATCTGAATATTTATTGCAACCTACTTTCTCACTTTCTTTTACTTATACTAAAATCCAGTTTATTATTTTGTTTTGAGTTAGTTTTTTCATCTTAACAGTGCTCATTTGTATGTTTGCTAATGTCAGACTGGTTTGACTCCATTGGAGAATGCTGTGAACTTAAGACATCTCAAGGCACTCGCAGTTCTGTTTCCAGTGACCAAGCCCATTCCTTCTATCTCGGATTGGAGTGTTGATGGACTTGTCAAATATGTTGACTCTGAAGAATCTAAACAATTGGTCTTGGCTCAACATCTTTTTCTATCTGTGATTTATTTATAATATTTTGCTGAAGTCATACAGACAAACAATACACACACACACATGTACTCTATAAATGCATCCCTCTTTGGATTGTTAGAGATGTGGTAAGAGGGAATGTGAGGGAGGAAGGTAGGAGCTTCAATTTGCCCAATTTTTTTCAATCATGCAATTTTTATGAATTAAAACTTCTGCCTATATATTCTTCTTCTTTTCATTTTTTTGGTTTATGCATCCTTCTAAACCTCAACCCTTGTTGCTTCTATTTGTTGGCACACTTACAGAGAGCTAATGTTCGGAAGGAAGTTTTCCACAAGTCAAAGCTACACGCTGAAGATGCATTCGAGAGAAAGAATTACGCAATTGCAGCTGGTTGGTACAATACAGTAAGTTTGTATTGTCTTTTTTAACATTAAAATTATCTTGTTGTTCGTTTGTATATAGAAGAAACTTCAGTGCACGTGGTGCTGCGTTATCTTTGTGGTTGGTGGAGTTATATTTCTTTTTTCTTTAATTCTTTTACCCCCCCCCCCCCCTTTCCCCTCATAGCAATTGGCCCAGTCCTCCACTGAATAGCATGGAACTATGTTCGTTGTATTCTCGGTTGTATCTTTATTCTCTAGAAACATTTCATCACATATTCACATATATTATATTTTAGGAATTT